TTTTTTTTTTTTTTTTTTTTTTTTAATTCACAATCTTGATAAACATGCTGAGAGCTGTAGGAATTGAACCTGAAAATTTTAGCCCAGAAATCTTAAAGATAAATGTTGCATATAACTAATGTTTTAGTCCAGGAACAGTCACCAAAGGATTTATGAATATTAGATCCTACAAAAGACTTAAGTACCAAATCCTCCAGATCCCTGAGCCAGATATGTTTTCCTGCAGTGCCTGAGACTGAAACTAGTGTCTGCCTGTGTCAGCAGGGCTGTGGGTCTGTATTTGCCTAAGCCCCATGGTCCTTGAGCTTTTATGAATGTACTATCTTTGCCTTTTTGAAAAACTGAGTTTGTGTAACCTTAGAAATAAAGCCCAGAGAGAAGGGTTGTCTAGTGACCCAGGTGTGTATGGTTCAATTCCTTTTCTTGTAAGAGGGTGCTCATTACTCAATTGCTGGCTGCTGGTGCACCAGCAATTGAGTAATGTTTGCACCACTTACCTTCTTTCTTGATGCTTTCTAATCTAAAAGATAGATTGTTACACTGGGATAAGGGACTAGAAGAAAAGTAGCCTGAGTTTGTTACTTAATGGGTAGGACTAGCGTGGAAAGAGATTTAAATCATCTCAGGCAGCAGACAAAACTCATGTGCTGTATAGAAGGCAGTATCACTCCTAAGTTTTGAAAGCAGCTATATTTGTGTGTCATGAGGAATGTGATGCTGTGCATGCTTATTGGAACAAGTCTTGCAAAGAATTTAGGTCTCCAGCTTCTATTATGTAGAACATTCATTTGTGCCTGAACTGGGTTCCCAAATACCAGTTCAGTTAAACAGAAAACCAGAATTGCTGAAACAACTCTGGAATGCTGGAGCTCTTGGGAACTTTAGACCAAGAAAGTCACTGTTAACAGAATGTTTTCAATGTCAGGCAGCAAAGGGATAACATTTTCCAGGATTTTTGTTTGTTTGGTTTTGGTTTTTTTTACCTCAAGTGGAATTCAGATGCACAAGATTTTCTTGACGCAGGTCTTAACATCTGTTTCAGCATCCTGATGACGTTAATGTAACTTCTTTTTACTTCTGAGGTGCAAAATGACTTCCTTGAAACACTGCAATGTACTGGCCATGATTATTGTTCTGGTGCACATGAAGCAGGTTGGCTAACACTGTTTCTGGAGAAGGCTGCTGTGGTTCTGAACTGTGTGGACACACAGTGTTACTGATAGTGATGTAGACTGGAAAGTAGGTAGTAGGTAGACTGGAAAGCTCACACTTTGACAAATGCTTCAGCCCATTTCCTAATTGGTTTTGCAAAATAAGTTGGATAAATGTAGATGATACTCTTTTTATACTTAAATTTTTGTACAGTATAATGAGATGATAAAATAAATTTGGTTCGCTTTAAAGGCCAAATCTTCTGCTATTCAAAAAGTGCCTGTGTAACAGACTCTTTGATCCACCCCAGTGGCTCACAAAACAAATGCCTTGAATATAAGTTTTAGTCATGCTTCTATGTTAATTCAATTACAGCAATTTTTGTATAAAGTGATCCAAAGGTGATAAAGAAAATTCTATTATAAACTCTAGTCTGTTTCTTCTTTTCCTGCTTCTTGCTTTTCATAGTTTTCAGGAGTTGCAGGAGCTGCTGTTTCATCAACACTTGGGTATTCATTTGTTGCATTGCTTGATGGAACTGTGGTTGCAGGAATGTTTTCTTCATTGGATACCTGAACATAGTCTGCATTGGATTGTTTCTGAACCATTTCTCTGCAGAAAGACAGGATTGGGATTGTGATCTCACATGTTGAAATCCTAGGTACACTAGAGTCTTTCAAAATACTGAATCTTTGTATTTGCTATCTGAACAGTAACCCAAATGTTACTATGACTGTTCCAAGATTGTGTGAAAACAACACCACTGATACTGAGATAGAAGGAGTGACAGCATGTTAGCTAGAAAGACATTTGCATTGCTGGTTTAAGTGATCCCATTAGAATAGAATTGATTTTAGTGTGTTTAAATGTTATGCCAGGAAAGTGGAAAAGGAAACAGCACTGGCAGTGTCTGTGGAGTGATAACAAAACTCACTGCCTGGTGTGAGCTTTCTGGGAACTTCTACGCAGATCTGGTGTCCCAGTGAAGTGCATGAAAAACAGAATTCAGTCAGAAAAGAATTAGGAAAAGACTGAAATCCAGAAAAGTAATATATATTTAGTATTTTAGAAAATATGGAAATCTAGAAAAGTATTTTTAGTAACAGGTATAAATTCCATTTATCTTATCAAAACGGTAATAAACCAACTCCCAAAATTGAAGCACTTTCACATGGTAAAAAATATCAGATGCTAGTGGATTAATTCAATGCAGTAAGATTTATTAGGAACCAAGTACAAAACTTAGTTAATTACTTAATTGCTATATTAATTAGTTTTTATAGTACTGCATTAGTTATTATTAATATAATTAATATATTTATTATTATAATTACTATAATAATTATTAAGTAGTTATTTAATTACTAATTAGCTGTTAATGCTACATCAGTTAAAAGCAGAAATCAGGTGTATGAGTGGCTGATCACTGCTCTGGATTAACAGAATTCCATATTAGGAAGTCTTAAACCTGTGCTACAGGGAAGTCAGTTTTTTCTGGCCTCAACTGCATGTAGCTATTTAGCATTTAACATCGATGGGCTGAATACAGTCTTTATAGTGCGTGAGATTATCCCTATTCTGAAGATTTGGCAATTTAAGGGAAAAATGAGCAACCAAAGCACAGAGAAGAAAACATCTCCAGGAAAGAATCAAAATGGACATTCTGGGCTGCATTCTGTTGTCTAAACCTTGTGTTTCCTGCAATTTGAGATGCCTGGAAGTATCCCAAGTGTATGTCCTGTAATTTCAGATAGCACTAACCCTCTTGTTTAAATCCCAGTAAATTTCCTGAGATAACCCTTAGCTGCTCTTTCTTTTCTTTTTTTACCTCCTCCAACTGCTTTTAACAGATCCCATTAACTTTAAATCTAAAGAGCTGTTTTTATAACTTGCCACCTCAGTTTGTGTTGTTTAAAAATACTTACTTCACTGTTTTAGATACTGCTAAGTGGTAGCTGTCTGTTAAAATAGGGAAGAGAGCAACAGG